AGTGTTATTTATTTTATATATATTATATAATTGTATATATTAGATAGAATCATCGTTCGCATTGGGAAATCATATTTGCTACGTAATATGGTCTATCTCCGATACGTCGTCGGAAATATTTTCCCATGTATCCTATCAGTCTTTCCTGCGAGTCAACTTGAAATTTCCCAGAACTACAATCTTCTCGGTGGCATTCACCACCCGCCCGTTGTTTGCCGGTGCTTCTTTCGCCTTTATTCCCCAGGCGCGCGCGCGAGGCCTCAGAGCAATCCCGCCGGTTCTCGGTCTGTCGATTCCCGCGGATGAAACGTCAATCCCGAGATAAAGTGGCGGAATACGGGGGCCGGGGTCCCGCGTTTGTATTACTCGTCCGCGCGACTCGTTCGGGGATACACAGAGGGTTGAAAGTTAGAGTCGCTTGGGGGATCCGTCGCGACCGATAATTGAGACCCGGAATTAAATTAGCGGCACTTCGATCCCGCGACGTGCCCTCCCTCGTGCGACTTGACCGGAAACGCGTTCAACAGCCCCCGATCCGCTCGTTTGCCAGCTCTCCCTTTCTGACTGACCGGCGCCGATCAGCCAGCAATTGAATTAAAAGGCCTCGATGGGACTTCGAATCAAGGTAGTCCAAGGCCGATGACGCGTCGTGCGAATACAAATAACTCCGGGCGAATTTCGATACTTGAAGAGAGAGTTTGGTTGAAAATAATAATCATAATAGGAACACAGAGTTCATGAGAATGTATTTCAATATTTAAATGATAAGTGAAATACGTTCTTTTAACATAAAAATTCTCATTATGATCATAAATGCAAGCTCTGTTATATAACGTGTGTCATGAATTGCGTGTGAGTTTTTGTTACACCGTCAAAGGAAATAAAGAACGGCATTCGCTGATGGAAAACTCGGACGTTAATTAACTTCCAAAGAACTGGTTTCTTGTATGCAGATATCCGCTTTGAGAAACTATGTAGAATCATGCCGCTACTCTTACGTGCTCCCCGGAATGAATTCCCTTAAACCCCGAAACATTATCAAAGCTCTCCTCTGGCTCTCAATTTTACGACGAAACCTTTTTACATATTTTCCAAGAAAACGAGAATCATTAACCAGGCCACATTCAGGGAAAGATTATTTCCAAGTATCAAAGAGATTTCTTCTTTCTTTCCCATAACCGTGCTACCTGCTAGTCCTTTTAAAGGAAAATCCATTAGTGAATATCCAAGGAACTTTGCAACGCACGCTGGCCAGATATAAAAAAAAATTCTACGAATAATCAGCAGTGCAATTTTATATTTAAAAATATTTCAATTGATACGTGAAGTCTTATCGTGATATCGTGAACTCTAATTTTCTTGAAATCGAGGGGCCGTCGGTTTTTCAAATCTGTAGAACTGCGCAATTTTTCGACGCCTTTCAAATTAAGATCTCGTGGTTGTACAAGGGAAGACACGTAGAAGCGGTGGATAATAGTGGTCGGGGTTGGTACGCGGGGTTCGAGAGGGTTGATCAGAGGTACAGCCCGAGGGGAAGAAAGTTTTCTCGGAGCAATCAGTGCCTCGCCACGTTCCCTGTTTCGCCCGTTACCACTTCCAATGCCTGGAACCACCGATACAATCCCTGGACCGCATCGGCGCTACTTTCTCTGTTTTTCTTCTCGGAGACTTTCCCGACAATTTGAGACCCGGGGCTGAAACGCGTGCTACGATTCTCAATGAAAGTCGGAGTAACCGCGCTGGATATTCCCCGCCGCGGGCGAGCAGACCTGACTTAATAGCGTTTCGTGCACCTACGTGCAGCCCGACTACTTCGCTCGGATAAATCTTTAAGTCGGCCAATCTGAATCCCGAAGATTTCGTTTTCTACGCGAATTTAATATGTCAGAACTTCGCGAATCCTTATTCTGATTAATTCTCATTTACATGGCATGCGCACGAATGAAAGAGTTCAAAACGTAAAAAGGATAAATTTTCTCACTTGACTATAATTTGCGTATAGAACTTCAATATATCTTCCGTTCCTATTTCTTCTGTTTCAGACCGCTCTATCAACGCGATTCGAAAACATTGGGAAGGACCGAGGGCGGCGTTACGAAATTTCCCGTGAAACGGAAGTACGGTATTCGGGTTGAGGATGTTTTGAGTGCAATTTAACTTGCACGAGGGAAAAAGAAGAGGCGGGGCGGGAAAGAAGGCTAGAGCAAGAAGTCTCGCCGCGGGCTACGCGGGCTCCAACCACTCCTAGACATTTTGCATAACGAAGTTACGAAACGATTCGCCGGGCGCGGAGCGTTGCATGGCCTACGAAGCAGCTCCGGGCGCTGCTGATTGAAAATACCTTGAATATTGTGTCGCTTCTGGGTGACGCCAGTGCCGGCTGGATACCTACGCCCCGATGCAATCTTCTGCCGTTATGAAACTTACGGACCGATTCGGTTAGGAGCTGTTTTTCCAGATACACTGGTAGCCAAAAGTGAGTCTCCTGCGAATATTTTCATATAAAATTACAGAATAGTTCACATCATTCTCTATTTATTTATGTTAAAAATGTCTTCTCAAATAATTAGTTTTTTCAAGCTATA